TAGTTCTGAAGAGGCTGAAATTCTTAAGCTTGATCAAAAATATTCTGTCACAGATACTATAGCACTTAAACGTTACTATTTGTGGAATCTTTATAGCAAAGACATGGATATAGAATATTGGAATAATCTATGCAATAAAAAATTTGTGGAAAGTTTCGGCCTACCTGAACCTCGAAAACACTTCTTGCAATTGTCTTACTTTCGAAAGCAAGGCTATGATGAGGAGAGCGTAGTAAAAAGATTAGAGACCAAAGATATTGCACAATAGAAAGATATCTATTATAAAGCTAGTGAAAATATTGAGAAATCAGTAGCAGAAGACTTGCATAAAAACTATTCAGCTAATTATTAGAAAGTTATAAGAGAACTCTTTCAAATACTAGGCTTTACTGGCATTGATGATAGGCATATCCTTTCTAGCAATATTGTATCAGAAGCATTCACATGATCCTGTGAAAGGTTTATAGAGCTCCTGAATCAATCTCTATTACTCTTTAGCTTCGAGTCTTGTGCTAAGATAATATCGGATCTTAACTTAGCTATAAGGGCAATTAATGCAATTGTTGGAAATTGGTGTAGCTATACTGTAAAGATACATAGGAAAAAAATAGGGCCTAAAGAAAAACAAGTTTGGGAACATTCATATCAAATTAATCGCTAGCCATATGATGGTCTTGGTTTTGGAGATAATGGCACACCAGAACTTCTACTATATAGGCCAAAAACAGATAATGATATTCAGGAACTCTTTGATTCTATGAGACAGGAAAAATAATAATACTTCAGCTCAGAGCACTCATTATTCAGCTAAGTGTTTTGACCATATCAGAGTTCATTGTATTTTTTTTGCCTTCACACCAGGTATTCTTATAAATTCTATTATGTGTACTACAGATCCCAGTATAAGAATTGGTTAACTTATTGCAGATAAGACATAATTTTTTAGGACGTGTTTTATAGTGTATGGCATATCCTAAAGCACACCAGCACCCTTTTCCACAAATTAAACTATCTTTCTTGATGTATTAGCAGGATAGATGATCCATACGAGATAATTTTGATATTAATAATCTCAAAACTTCATCTTCACTTTATTATAGATATTCAAAAATGCGATGCCTCAGGTGGGATATTTTTTTTGAATTGAACTTTTTTCTACAATATATAATCTGAAAACATAAATTAATCTAACTATCGCTTATATTCTACATGTCTTATCATGTCCACTATTACAACCAAGTTCGTTACAGATTACAAACTCACTACTGAGATGAGTCTTGAAGAACTTAGCCGATATGCACCAGAAATACTTGAGCTCTTAACAGATAATAAAGAGAGAAAGCGCCAGGCTCATAATCGTCTTATAAAAAGATATGACTTTACCAAAGAGCAGGCGTTTGCATTGATTTCTCTTCAGAGAATCAGGCGATGCAAAAGTTAAGCACCCTCAAAGAAGGAAGGTTAGAAGCTAAAGAAGTGAATATATGCCAGGTATCTGATAGTACTTGTTCTGAAGAGACTATTAAAGAAACAGCTCAGCATATTATAAAAGATAAACTTAGTGAAAAAGATGTAAAAGCGATATCTAAAATCTTAGTCGAAACTGCCCCATCCTGTTGTTGCTTTATCCTATCTCTCTAGGCTTTGAAGAGAATTACGAGCTCTCAATGCTTCAGAAAAAATAGTTTCTGCTACATTGAATCCAGAGGTAACCAGATTATCCAATAAAGTTCAAAAAGAGCGTAGCGAACAACACGAAAATAAAGGGATTGATTTTCCAGACCATTTCTCATTAGAATCAGTTAAAGAGAGACTGGATTTGTATGATGTATTTAATATACCTGACAAGCAGGCCCTAGCAGATATAATGATAATGCTTTGCATTTGTTCTGCTGAAATTAAAAACTTGCGTATATCTAATGGGCTGTAATTGAATATACAAAAACTGAGATCAACAAGATATTCCTCGAGTGTTTAGATCACTGGAAAAGAATGAGAAGCGAGCAAGAGAATTACTTACATAGATTTAGGAAGCAATCATTTCTGGGGAGTTAAGGGATCCAGGAAAACTTGGATCTATGTACTTAAGTATATTTCTGAAAAAAGATGAATTTATTCCTGAAAATGGTAAACCACTACTTTCTAGCTCTTTATGCAAATTAGGAGCAGTATTTGCTTCTGTAGTATAGGGCCTAAAAATGTATCAAAAGCTAACACTTATGCCAGTGAAGCCCTTTAGCATTTACCCGATAACCATGCTTCTTCATCTAAGAGATACACTATAGTTAATATGCAGAGAAGAGGAGAACTATATAATCAGGCAAAGGCATTCGAGCTCTTCGATGAAAACTGATTGCATAGATGAGCTAAATATTATTTATTAAATTTTATTTTTTCATTAGAGATATCACTCAACTATACTAATTTGAAATATCTTAGTTTGGAGGGACGTCGCTAGTTTAGAGAATTTTCACTAGGCCCTCATGTACGTGAGACTCAAGTTGTCCACCATTTTCCTAATGCTATTCTTGAGATCACAATTGAGAGAGATATTTATTTTTTTCTTATAAATTGGTGGTATCGATGTGAAATAAAAATTTATGAAGTGTATACTCCTCCTTTTCTTCACTAATTATTCACTAGATCGATCAGTCATTGGTTTATACTTATTAAATAAAAGTCTTAGTTAATAAAATCTATGTGTTTGAAATATAAACATGTCTAATATTCAAGATATTTTTGAGGAATAGGAAAAAAATAGTTATACTCGATACATATTATCTGAATATGGCTTAAACTATATTAGTAATTTAAAAACACCAGAAGCTTGGCTACAATTTGCAAAGTATTATCTGCTCGAATATATACGTAAATGTTTATTTATACCAGAATATGAAATAAAAGATAAAAACTATTGGAAAAACTTTGTATTCCATATTAAAAATAATTTAACCAGAAGAGAATATATGGCCAATAACTCTGAATTTAGAGAATTTAAAACCCAAGTAGCATATTTTAAAACTTTGTATATAAAAACTCGACCAGCTATTATCATCCAGCGAGCATATCGTTTATGGAAAAAATGAATAAATTCAGCTAAAATAATCTAGCACACAGTGAGGAAATGGCTTTATCGACCAGGTGGCATATTAATGAAATATGCCCAAGATCAGTATTATCAAAATGCTAATAAACTTGAGAATTGTCAGTAGATTGAGTAGCTCAAGGAAAGTAATGCGTTCATACGAGTTCAGTTCATTCAAGTCAAGTTCTTCTGAAGAAACTATTACAATAGTAGAGGAATTTGAGGAATCTGATTCAGATTATATACTATGCAAAGGGTCTATTGGCCCCAAAAAGAAGATTCACAAAGTGAACTCAGGAAAAGTAATGTGCATGAAGAAAAAATCTGGCAATAAGGCAAAACCTAGAAGGAATTTAGGCCGAGCAGTCTGATCCAACTAGTCCAGAGCAGTGATTCACCAACTCAGAATATTTTTTCTATTAAAAATATGACATAATTATATTAGCAATAAACATAACAATGAGAGGATCATTTAGTGATATGTTTATAAGAGATACTATTAATTAGGTAGATCGGTCATCCTCTCCGAGCTCTCCGGTTTTAGAACCTAAAAAGGATATATAAATACTAACTCCCACACAAGGTGATAGCTTTGTAAGTGAATATATTAAAATAATAAAGCTATATGCTATTGCTATTGGCAAGGATTTAGATAATATAGATGTTAAAGTAAAATTTCTTTGTGGATTATCACCTGACAATGAAAAGCGTGTGAATAAGTTTGGTGTTAAAAAACCTTTAACTGAAATATTTGAATACCTAGTTAAGTCTTCTACCAATCTGAAGTAGTGATCACCAGCTCGGAAAATTTTTTTTGTTTAAAGATATAGTATATAATATGCACTATTTATGGCACATTTAAGTATTATAAATTTACCGGAACTATTAGAGCGGATTCTATATTTCTTAGTGGTAGATAAGTCACTTTATTCTGCTCTATTTGTTTGCTGATTGTGGTATAAATATGCTGTTCCTAGCTTATAGAAATACATTGAATTAAAGGGGAATGATTTGAAATATGGTCATTATTTCCCAGATGATTATACTTATCATGAGAGAGATCGTACTCGATAGAAAAGATTTATAAAAATAATGAATGAAAAGCGTAAGCCAGCTTGTGTCTTGAATGTAACTCATCTAGAAATTACTTATTACCATTTACTATCGGATAACAAAATAAAAGGTATTGTGGATACCTTTCTAAATATAATTCATTTAGATTTCAAAGATAGTGTTATAGAACAGTTTATTATTTTATTAGTTTATTATTTCTGATATTGTATTTTATTATTTTATTATTATTATTTAGTCTTATTTAGTTATTATTATTAGAGTAGAATTTAGCAGACA